TTCAGGGTTTAGGGTTTAGGGTTGAGCATCTGGGATTTAGGGTTTAGGGTTCAGGGGTTCCAGGGTTTAGGGTTTAGGGTTCAGGATGGGTTTGGCATAGAGGTTCCGCACCATGATATGATCGTACAATGGGACTCCGAAGAGGGCCTCGATTATTAGGGATATTTTTGTTTGCCATAGGGTTGCTTAGTCTAGTCAAAGGGACCATGTGGCTCTGCCACAGGGGCCTTGGAGAATTCTTGCATTAGGGTTTCTTGATGTAGTAGTAGCACAGTATACCCTAAAACCTTTTTTTTTTTATCAAGGCCCTATTTTGCCGTCCTTAGGATTATACATAGGATAGCCTTTGTTTGTGGGCGCTCCTCAGGAAGCGGTATTCAGTTTTGCGCAGAATCCCTAAACCCTAAAGCCCTAGCCCCCAAACCATAAACCCTAAACCCTAAGCCCTAAACCCTAAACCCCTAAACCCTAAACCCCCGAACCCTAAACCCTAAACCCTAAATCCCATTGGAAGTTTTTCAGGGCTCTCCTTGGACCCAGACTTTCAGACTCTCAGACCCGTGGTCTCTCCACCTCAAGAGCTTTTGTCTTTTTTAGGGTTTAGGGTTTAGGGTTTAGGGGGCGGGTTCTAGTAGGGCTTTTTTTGTATCAATAGGGGTGTGTATAGGAAAGTTTGTTGATTCAAGATGTTTGTAGGAGAGGTTTAGAGGCTTGCGCAAGTTACTTGTTTATAGGGCCTAGGCCTTATTCATACTTTCCTTCTGTGCTTCAAGGAATGGTCCCTACTTGCGGAGTTTTACATCTCTTTAGCCTCGTCTTCCATTACATAAGCGCCCCGAGTCCCGACACAGCTTTTTCTGCACACAAGCCCCCCTACCTCTTGATTCGGTTGCCCAGGTTCAAAGGAACCCCGAGGATCCTGAACCTCGAAACCCCTTAAAATCCAAGCCACCTGAACACAATAACCCTGAATGTTGTACAATCCGGGCCCCTAAACCCTGAACCCCTGCCCGGAGTACTGGAGGTTTGCCGGAAGGCGATCGTCACGATAAGCCCGAAAGCCTACTCATCGCCACTCCATAAAAACCCTGCAGAGAGCTTGGGTTTTTTTGTTAGGCCTTGAGGCGTTCAGGGTCTAGGATTGTTAGGGCTTGAGGGTTGGGATCAGGTTTTAGGGCTTTTAGGGTTTTGAGGGGGTAGAATAGAATTTGTAGGGTTTAGTGGAGAAGCAATCCCTCCGACTGCTCGACCCACGCAGATCCCTGCGCTCAAGTTTTCTAGAGGCTATAACGAGACCGTGGCAGACGAGCTACCCTAAACCCTAACCCCCCAAAAACCCAAAACCCTAAACGTGGAACCTTAAACCCTATAAACGAACCCTAAATCCGAGGCCCAGTACCAACTTCCGGCCTTTTTTGCCAGAGCCCCACACTTGAGAGTCCCTCCCAAGTTGACAGTCCACTGCCTTTCAGGCATTCCATCCCGGCCTCAAGTCCTAAACAGTCAAAAGCCCCCTGAGGAGACGGATTTTGGCAGCCGAAGTTATGGGACTTTCTGTGAGGACAGGTCGCGAGACTTTTGGGAAGGCCTTCGGGGGGGGGGGGCTTCCGGCGCTTGAGGGCCTTTGGGCTTTGGAGGTTTAGGGCTCATGACATTCTCGGGCCAAATCTGAAGGTTTCACGCTTTAGCAGTGGCGCCCGATAGAGCTTTAGGGTCGCTGCATGTCAGGCTTTTCAAGCTTTGGATGTGGTCTTTCATAAAAGTTCCGGAACCACCCGCAACACAGTCTGGGGTTTATTGGAGGGATGCCTAAACCCTAAACCCTAAACCCTAAACCCTAGTAATAATCACGCACCCTGGGCCCTACTTCACCTCCTGGCCCCCCGCCCCACCCAACCACTGCACCAGCCCAGAAAGGACCGGACAGCCTTACCCTCGTAGGGGATGGCACGAAGCCCCGTAGTGTTCCTTTTGCAAGGGACAGTCGTCATGGCGCCCTTTTCGGGTTCCTTGTGAGTTTCAAGCAGAGAGAGAGAGAGAGAGAGAGAGAGAGAGCGAGAGAGCGAGAGAGCGAGAGAGAAAGAGAGAGCGAGAGAGAGAGGGAGCGAGAGAGAGAGAGAGAGAGAGAAAAGTACATATGTATGTGTGTGTAGCACATGTATTTCTAGTTAAACCCACGTGCGGCCCCCTTTCCTCTCACCGGCGCAACCATTTGTCTGTCTGTCCGTCCGTCCGTCCGTCCGTCCGTCCGTCCGTCCGTCCGTCCGTCCGTCTGTCTGTCTGTCTGTCTGTCTGCATGCACTTTTGTGTGTGTGTGTGTATATCTCTTTATATACACGCAAGTCACCAGACTTAACGACCGCCACACGATTGCTGCAGCATCCACCCAATTGTGCAGGTGACTGGCTGTGGCCCACCATCGAGACCCTGACTGGGGCGACCGACTGTGCCAGTGCCAAGCCTTTCTGTGAACGCCGGGACTTGCCTCTGCTGCTGGGCCCTTCTTTGGGGAGCGGTTCAGGATGGCTAGCGCTGTGCGGTGACAGTTGCGGTGCCAGGTTCAGCAATCAACGCAAAACCCTAAAGCCTCAAGGCCGAAGGCTCTGAGGCCCGTCTAAGGTTCGGGATTTCAGCCCTCGGATCTTTAAGCAGAGAATCACACGTCGGCAGTAGAGGCGGAAAGGTCTCGGATCAGGACTCCGTTTGTAGAGCGAGGAATGTCGCTTCTTGCGGAAGGGGCGTAAGAAAGCCAGAAGATGCTCGTGATGTAACTGCAGAATGTCGAGCTTGGGAGATCTTGCGCCAGACTTTCTGCGAAGCTTCATGTGCTAAACGTATCGGCGCTCCTACCAGTCTTTGACCCTAAACCCTAAACCCTAAGACTTCGAGGCGATCGACCCTTGGGAGTTTAGGATTCAGGCTTTAGGGTTTAAGGTTTAGGGTTTAGGGTTTAGGATTCAGGGTCTAGGGTCATGGGAAAGCGCTCAACTCACGCCGCCTTTGCATTAGGGTATCTACCTCCAGCGGACATGTCCGTGATATTCCCTGGTGTGCTTCGTTTTGGCACAGGGTGCGTGTGTCTCCCTCGTCTTATGGGGCTTGCTTGAAAGTAGATGGGGAGCTGCACGTATGTTTTGAGGTATCTCAGTCTGGGCCTACTTACCACCCTACTTTAGTTATGGCTACAGCTACCGCAGACTCTAGCTATAGTTATCTAACCGCGAACCCTGAACCCTAAACCCTAAACCCTAAACGCCCTAAACCCTAAAGTACGAGCAGCCCAGGGTTCGCATGACCTGCCCGCAGACGTGTGGCTGCGTGGATCCATTGGCCGGGCGCCAAAGAACTTTCGAAGACTTCGGGGCTTAGCCAGGGTTTGTGTTTAGGGTTTAGGGTTCAGGGTTTAGGGTTTAGAAGCCTTAATAATTACCTATACTATTTTGGGGGTTCCTGAAAATCATTATGGTATAATCTACCCCCCAAAACCCTATTCTAATTATTAAGGCCCCCATAATAAGCCGATGCCCCAAACCCTACATCCCAGGCCATACATCAAGGCTTCGAGGGCCTCAGGGGTGACGCACTTGGATTCCTGGATCCTTCAAGCCTTGAGCCTGGAGACTTGAAACATTCCTAACCTGAAGTTTAGGGTTTAGGGTTTAGGGTTTAGGGCTCGGATGCCCGAACTCCCACCTAGGCCTTCTTTCTAGGTGCCTGGATGTCAAAGACAGCCCTTCGGAGAGTGGACGAGTGCAGCCCTCACTGAGCCATGCCATTGGGCAGTTACAGAGCGAACCCCCAGGCTCAAAGAAGAGGACTCGCCAAGCCACCAGAGACCACCAACGGACCGCCTTCTGCACAGAACCTTCGCAGGGCCTTGGCCTGCAGAGGCCCCCACAGGCCAAAGGTGGGAATGGAGTACTCCTTCCCCAACACCAAAGGCAGTGTTTCGGGTGCTGGCCTGGGTAAGCCCGCTGTGGCCGAGTAGAAGGAACACAAGGCAACTGCACGTGCTTGTCGCGAGAGGAGACATCCTAAACCCTGAGCCCTCGCGCGACCCTAAATCGAAACTGCTGGACCTCAGACCGTGAGCGGAAAGCCGAACACCGAACCCTGAATCCCTAAACCAACAACTCCTGAACTTTGAGGGTCTGTACGGTTTAGTAGGGTTGAGGTTTAGATTTAGATGGATTTAGGGTTTAAGGTTTACGAGGCTTCCGATTTAGGGTGTATGTGTTCGGGCTTTCAGTTACGAAATATAATGAAGGAGCCAAGGGGTTCATTGCCGCAAAGCCACTCCCTAAGCCCTGAACCCTAAACCCTAAACCTAAACCTAAACCCTAAACCTAAACCCTAAACCTAAGCCCTAAGCCCTGAACGCTAAACTCTAAAAATTAAACCCTAAACCCTAAACCCGAGCAGAGGACTTGCCTTTAGAAAATGCAGTGTGTGCTCTCACTTTTGAAGTCACCGAGCTCCAGCTGTCATGTGAGGGTACATTGAAGCAAACTCTCGGGGGCGGCCACTCGCAAGAGGGTACCATGGTCGGAATGCATGCTCGCTCACCTCACGACCGCCCGGTGCTCGGCAGCCTCGGACAGACACGTGTGCAACGTAACAAACGCAAGCAGCCAGCAACGAGAGAACGTTGGGGATCCTTTCCAGGGAGGCCGCCTGAGCCGAAACACTGTATGAAGTTCGCTTCTGTCAGGCAACCGAGGCTGGCAATGCTTTCTCGAAATTGAGGCATTGAGAATGATACGGTTTCCGGTATTCGCCTCGAGGTAGGAGAAGCGCTGCGACAGGGGGAGAAACATGGCGACGTTGCCTGCCCAATGGCACTGTGCAGCTTCTCACATGTTGCAGTAGGCTGCGGCATTTGCATTGCTGCACGTCTGAAGGTCACCGAGATTGAGGCCCGATGCGGGGGCCAATGTGCCCAAAGACGACTGGATATGTCGTCGCAGCCGTGAAGCCTCCAAAAGCCAGAGAGTGCCTTCACCTTCCACCGAAAATCGACTCCTCCAAGCCTCTAAACGATTCGGGGTTTAGGGTTGAGGGTTTAGTGTTTAGGGTACATCTTTACCACCAAACACTGAGCCCGAAACCTCGAAACTTGGGAGCCCTCAAATCTGCAGGCCCGAAGCTCTCAGCCCCGAAACCGTTGTCGAATGTAGGAGCCCGAACAATTGATCCCCATGCTTATACTCTCAAACCATGTAAATCCCGATGAAACCTCATAAAAGTCCTGATAAACACTATCGGAATCCCTCAAACTTTGTCAAGCCTACAGTAGGCCGGGCTTTACGTGGACAACGGCTGTCGGCAGCTCTGCATGGAAACGGACGCCTTCCAAGCGGCGCTGGGAGACGCGGTTTGCCAGGAGATGGGTTCCGAAAGTTTCCTGTTATGTTTAGGATTGGGGTGATCAGGGCACCCGGAACCCTAAACCCTGATTACGGTCTAGGTTGAGGATATGAGGTTTGGGATTTAGGGTTGAGGGTTTACCGCTACTTTTTCGGGTCAGGGCTTCGGGTTTACGGTTTAAGGTTTGGGGTCTTTGGGGCAACGTTCACCAAGGGCTCAGCAACTTTATGGTAAGGATCCAGGCTTCGCGCTGGAATTGTGTGCTGGCAACTTTCACAGACCATAAAACTTACCTAAACCTTGGGCTCTAAAACCTAAATATATCCTCTCATATCCTCTGAAACGCTCATGCCCTCAAGTCTAAGTCTCGCAAACCCTACGCCCGATCAACCGCACAACGTTTTTGGCAGGACCTTGCGCACGAGGAGCATGAGCTGGCGTGGCAGAGGCGATTGTGGAGTCTGTGTTGGGGCGCAAGGGCTTTCGAAGGGTCTTGGGGTAATTGGGGTTTAGGGCACAGCGGAGTTTCGAGGGTTTTGGTTTAGGGCTTTTTTCGGGGTTTGAAAGTACGAAGTGTGGGATTTTAGGTTTTGAGGGCTTTGTGAGTGTTGGGGTTCGCTCTTCAAAGCCATTGTCAGGGATTTGGTTCCGGATTCGATGTCCCCAAGCTCTACTCCCAAGATCCCAAAGTCTTATATCCTACAAGCCTTAAGGGCCTAGGCTATGGGGTCAAGGGAAACTAATAGGCACTATAATATAACCCTAAATAATGAAAAGCCCCTCCGAGGAAGTAGGGGGAGCCGGGCTTGGCAGGAGAAGGCCCAGGGGCCGGGGAAGTCTTCATCGTGGGGCCTCTCTCTCCTTGCTTCCGGTCTTTCCCCACGGTTTAGGGTTTAGGGTTTAGGGTTTAGGGTTTAGGGACCTGCAACCCCTGAACCCTAAACCCTTTCGATGAATTCCCCAACGTCGAAGTTCTGAGGTGGTGGAGCGGTTTCTACTCCAACGAGCGCGGCGTCTGGAGCGAGGAGCGGGAACCAAATGAATTTCCTACTGAAGAGGTACGAAGTTAAGGGTGCTATTCGGCTCCCTTGAGTGTTTATGTGTCAGGGTCCATGAGGGAGTTGGAGTCTCAATGACCATTTGTTTGTTGAATATACCCCAAGAACCCTATCCTAGTCATTCACGCCCCTATTCTACGGACTGACAGCTCCACAACACAAGGGAGATGTACTCCCTGAAGCTCGGGTGCCGCGGCCTGAACCCTCCATCCACATCGCCGTGTGAGCTCTAAACCCAAATCTTTGACTTAAAAACCCGATCGTCTCCTTCCTTGGAGATGCTTGAGAGCTGACCCCTGGAGTTCAAAAGTAGAACGATGCCCAAACTCCCCAAACCACGCCAGATAAAGCCTCAGATTACACAAGCCTAGACTCCCTAAGCCCTAAACTCAAAACCTTGTCACCCCCTTCCACAACGTGGATTCTACTGACCTAAGACTAGCGAGGTGGAAAAAGGTGCTCAAAAACAAAACCCTGTCACCCCACACCCAAGCTCTGGCCCAGGATTCATCCTGAGCCCCCAGGCCCTAGACCCGGTGCTCTTGGACCCTGTTGTTGGGCCCGTGAAGGCCGTGAAGAGCCCCAAACCCCCCTTGCAAAGCCAAAAAACCCCAAGCCCCAGAAAGACAAAGCCGGGTCCCAAGACCCACAAACCCCCTTTAGGGTTTAGGGTTTAGGGTTCAAAACCCCGCACCATAAAACCCCAAAAGACGCCAGAACCTCAACCCCTCTTTGTGGAGGAGAACGAAATGATGACCTTCGCCCGGGAGGGTGCGGTCGGGAACTGCAGCTTCCTGCTATCCCAGGCAATGCAGTCTTAGGGGTTTAGGGTTTCGGGTTTCGGGTTTAGGGTTCAGGGTTCAGGGTTCGTTCCAGTTTGTTCTGCGAGAGGGTATATATGTATATATATATATATATATAGTTGTAATTGTCACTAGTATTACTAGTCTTAGTTCATCATCATGAACACAATTATCACCCTTATTTGTACCACTGGTAGTGTTGCTACATAAGAAATCCGGGTGCAGGGTTCGAGTTCGGGGGGCGGGGACGTTTGCGGTCTAGGGTTTGCGGTTTCGGACACAAAACCCTAAAGCCTAAACCCTAAACCCCGAACCCCGAACCCTAAACCCTAAACCCCTCAACCCTAAACCCTCAACTCTAGGCGTCTCGGCTGCAAGCTGTGG